GGTTAACTGTATATGTATATGTATATGTATATGTATATGTATATATATATCTATATCTATATCTATATCTATATCTATATCTATATCTATATCTATATATATATATATATATATATATATATATATATATATATATATATATATATATATATATATATATATATATTTCATGTAAATCCACAATGAAAACGTGGATAAGATAAGGTACTCCGTTGTTTCCATTTTCCCGTGTGATTTTATCAAGATATATATATATATTAGGGTGGTCCAAAACTATATGGTAAAAAATATAATTAGTAATATATTGCCTCCACAAGCCTTAAAATTGTCCATTTGGTTCATAGATAAGGTCTGTAAAATTTTATCCATATTCATTAACATTTAGAGGTCAATCCATTTTGCATATTATACTTGTAGTGTAGGACTGAATTTTCTTGTCCGCATGATACAGTCTTAATATACACAACACATTATATTGGGTATATTTCAATGTATATAGCCTAGTTGCCTATTTGGAAAGGGCAAAGAGTCAAGTATTGAGTCATAGGGACTGACAATGACAGGTTGAAACAGGAAACACAGACAAGGGTTACCATTAATCAGATGAAGTTACTTATTTCATTTATGTCTCATCAGTTCTACAATTATTTCATTATCAATCTAGAGAGTATATTTTGCTGAATAAAGACAATGTGTTTATAATGTGTTTATCTAGCCCCGAAAAATCCTTATTACGTACTAAATGGAAAAAAAGAGGACATTGGATTGACCTCTAAATATGCTTTAAATGATCCAATTTTTTTCTGGGATGCATTTTGTACCTAATGGACAAAAATAAACCTTGTGGAGAAAACGTATACAAATATGTGATATTTTGGACCACCCTATTATATATATATATATATATATATATACAGTATATATTTACTTTTAAATGAGAATAAAAAAATATGATCTAATGTCATGTTTGGAGAAGGCTGCAATAATCTCGCCGTAATGTTTTTAGTCTGGTTCCTTACTCTAACGTCATTTCTTACTACACACAATAAACAGTTAGTTCCCTTGAGCAGTTCCATGAGCCGTTGGGTCTTCTCACACTGGGACAGATCTTGACTATTCTCAGACTGCTGGATCAACATGTGTTTAAGGTTGTCGTTATGAGACCGAGATTCATTTAGTTTTTCTGTTTGTTGTGTCAGAGATTCTAGTAAAACCTGGAAAATCAACAATAACAATAATAAATATATCAAGGTGGTGTAATAAATTTATAAAAAGCCTTTACCAGTCTTAATTGATGTGTATTTATCTTTAAGTAGGAAACATCTCATTCTGTTCCCTACACCAACACTACCACTACACAAGTACACATAAACAATCATAACATTCTCAAAATTTAAATCTTCGTACTTAATCATAATATAAATGTACAGTATACTCATATGTTAAGTTCTTCTTCCACTTTACAATTGAACAAACATGGAGACAATACCCAGTAGCTATTAGTCTTCCCATCCCACATACCACCTTCCATAAATCCTAAATACTGTACGTTACTTTTTTTTTTTAATTACGTTTACCTTTTGACTTTTATCCTCTTCGCCACTGATCGGCTTGTTAGCCGCTTGGGAGATCGGTCACGTCTCTGATTACTTTTCCTTTTCATTTATACTCTTCACCAAAAGATCGGCTTGCTAACCGCCCAGGTGATTGGTCACGTCTCTGTCATGCACTGTTGGCAAATACTGGGCATGCACCGGCTCGTGTACCTGAACCTGCTCCAGTGTTGGTCAAGTCTTGTCTTGAAAGAGCTCACACTCGGTGCCATCACAACACTCTCTGGTAGATTGTTCCAAGAGTTTACAACCCTCACTCCGAAAAAGTTTGCCCTCACAGTTTTCTGGACTTGTGCCTTCTTCAATCTTCAGCTGTGACCCCTTGTGGGGCGAGCATCCGCCAGCTCCAAGTAAGGACACTCGACTGAGTAGTGCCCCCTGAGATGATTATACACCTCAACTAGGTCACCCCTTACCCGTGTGTAATATAAGCTAGGTAAGTTCAGGCGCTCCAATCTCTCAGGGTAGCTGAGGTACCGAAGTGCAGGCACCAGTCTGGTGGCCCTCCTTTGAATATTTTCAAACAACTGACAGTCCCTAGCATATCTCGGGGACCAGACGGGGTGACAGTACTCCAGATGGGGAAGCACTTCACTCTTGAAGATCGTTACGAGGGATGGACCGTCTAGATATCTGAACGACCTTCTTATAAGACCCAATAATTTCTTTGCCTGGTTTACCTTCTTCTCGCAATGGCCCGAGAACTTCAGCTCATTGTCAACAAACACACCTAGGTCCTTCTCACATTCAGTCTCAACTAGTGCAATTTCTTCATCTCGTTGGGACATATGATACGCCTCCTTACCGTTGGTACGCCCCAGGTGCATCCTCTTACACTTCGTGACATTAAATCTCAGCAGCCATTCCTTTGACCATTCCTGGAGCCCACAGAGGTCTTTTTGTAGCTCTTCACAGTCAGCTTTGTTATTAATTTCCCGAAATAACTTAGCGTCATCGGCAAACATTTGTATGGAGGAGTGTACAACGTCAGGCATGTCATTTATGAAACAAACAAACAACAGCGGGCCCAATACACTGCCCTGTGGTACCCCACTTGTGACAGGTACAGATGACGATTTCGTGCCATTAATCACCACACACTGCTTGCGGTCATGTAGAAAGTCTTCTATCCATGCAAGGACATTTCCCCGAATTCCGTACCCTTCCAGTTTGATTTTCAGCCTTACATGGGGTATACTGTCAAAAGCCTTGGCAAAATCTACGTAAATATTGTCAAAATTACCACCCCATTCCAGAATATGGGTCCAAATATCCAATACCTTGAGCAATTGTGTTAAGCAGGAGCGCCCCGGCATAAAACCGTGTTGGCAATCCTTCACAATATTGTTTCGTATTAGATGTTCCATTACGGCATCTCTGATAATACTCTCAAGTACCTTACATATTATGCTGGTAAGGCTCACTGGTCTATAATTGTTCGTGGAGTGCCGATCGCCCTTCTTGAAGATAGGACTCGCACAAGCCACTTTCCATTCACTGGGGACCATTTGTTCATCCAGGCATTTACAAAACAGGATCTTCAGGGGCTCTGCAAGCTCGTTGCACAACTCTCTTAGCACTCTAGGATGCACCATGTCAGGGCCGGGACTCTTATGGACCTTTAGCCTGGACAGTTTATTTCTAATACCCTCTTCTGTGAACACAATGTGGGTCAGTGCTGTGTCGAACCGTCTGTCCTCAAACGCAGGAAGGTTAGTTGCATCCTCTCTTGTGAAGACTGAGGAAAAGAAGCTGTTCAATGCCTCAGCTTTATCCTGGTCAGAATCTGTGTAACTACCATCCACAAGCCTCAGGTCTGATACTCCTACTCGCGTTTTCAATTTCGACTTTCCATAGCGGTAAAACGCCTTTGGGTTTGACTTGACCTCGCGTGCAACCAGCCTCTGGAACTCCTTTTCAGCCCTGCTACACTCTGTCTTTGCTTGATTCCTGGCTCTTGCATACATCCTCCTGTCTTACTCATCGTTTGACCCAACCCAAGTCTTGAATTTCTGGGTTTTCTTCTTAATTTTGTCGACCGCCGCATGGTTCATGTGTAGGGAACCCCTCGTAGTCCTCGAAGCACTGGGTTTGGTCTTGGGTATATAGTTATCGATCAAATGGGTCACTTTACTAGTTATGATATTCAGCGTAGTGTCCGCGTTCTTGTACCTTAATGAGTCAGGCCAGTTGATACCACTCATCTCTTCCCTCATCCCATTGTAATTTCCCTTGTAATATTTGCACCTTGGCCTGGCCTTATCCTGAACTAGGTAACAGTTAAATCTGAATGACAACACAATATGGTGACTGGTGCCAACTGGGGCAAGGTGTTCCAGTTTGGCCACCATACCCTCCTCATTTGTTATGATGAGGTCAAGTGGCTTGGGTGTTTGCTCCCCTATGTAATGTGTTGGGTCTCTAACATGTTGGAACAGAAAATTATCTCTCAGAGTTTCTACAAAAAGAGTAGCAGGGTTATTCAAGTCATTCGGGGTGGACTCGTTTCTCCAGTCGATGTCGCCATAGTTAAAGTCCCCCATGATAAGGAGGTGGCTAGGGTTGAGCATTGCCGCGTTGTTTATTAAGGTTCTTAAGTTCCTTTGATTTAGTGGGCCACAGTTTGGGGATCTGTAGATACACCCGACGATAGGTAAGTCCCCTCCCTTTAATTTAATTTTACACCACTTGGACTCTTCAAAAATATCCTCTCCCTGTACCCTCACCTGGCTGGCTCTAAGGTCTTGCCGAGCACAGATAACCACACCCCTCTTGCAAGTTTCTTGAGAAAGGTTCGTAAATGAGTCATATCCAGCAATACTGAACTCACATTCCTCTCGGTCGATTCTCTTGTTCTTGTACAACAGTTCTACAACTCCTACGATATCTGATTGGTGTACTCTTAGTAGTGTTTCAAACTCCTCTCTCTTATCGAGAAACGTGTCAGTATTAGTGTACATGACATTCAAGCCAGAATTTGTTCTCGGTAACGTCTCTGCTCTTAGTAATAAACCCGCTCCCCCCCCATTCTCAGAAGCTGCAGCATTTGCAAAGTACACTGTATTTTGCAGGGTGTGGTTAGAAATGTCATTGTTTACACGGCGCTTGCCTCCTCCTGTCCGGTAGGCTGAGCTGGTGCCGCCTCCCGGGTGGGGGGTTGAGTGGGTGGAGGGTGCACTGCTGTCCCCTGGCCCTGTGTCGGCACACTTTTTTCCACTACCCTCCCCCTGAGTATAACCCATGTACACCTGTCCCCATTCCTCCTCGACTCCTTCCTCTTCTGCTTCAAGTCCTGCAGGAGCTTCTTGTGCTGTTTCCTCTGTATTACCGTGCGATCTGGGTGAATGAATACATCCCGAAATGCCTTGCTCCTTGCTAAGTTTTTTGCCTGCCGAATAACGTGCCATTTCTCTTCCCCGCTCGCTAGTGTGATCCTGAGGGGACGAGACTTATCCCCCTGCTTTTGTCCCAGCCTCCTCACATCCTGAGGGGTTGATGGAATTTTCAGAACCTCTGCACAATGTTGTGCAAGCAGTCTATCATGTATGCGACTTCAATTTCCCCCTAAGGTATATAATGTCAAGTCTTAATATTTCTAACTGTATTCCACAACATAAACTTTACTCAACCATCAATAGCATTATCTCTCTCTCTTTCTCTCTATTCTCACTTTAATAACTTTTGTATGTACTGTATATCTGACACTACAACACCAAGGTTGATGCTGAAGATAGGGGGAATCATCTACTGTGATAAATCAACATCCAGGCAGTCCTTAAGACAATAAAGACACAAAATTATACCGAATTCTGAGGTGTAGGGGTGTGTGTGTGTCATGTGTACTGTACCTGCTTCTCTTCTTGTAGTTGCTGCACTTCCAGGTGACACCCAGACAGCTGCTTTCAGATGTCATCCAGCTCTTGTAAAGTAGCCTGAAGCTCCTCATTTGTGCTGTCGAGAGTAAAAATCACAGCTAATCAAAATGTCCTCCAACTGAATAAAAACGACACAAGTTAGTAATAAATCAAACTATTCCCTAACACATACAATTTTCATCTCCATTAACCACAATATTAATCACAGAGGAACATAAAGGAACTGGAATAATAGATCCGAGTGATGTTAGCAGCAGTGAGTTTCTTTCATCTGTTGAATGCGGTCTTGCAGGCAAGCCACCGACATCGACACGCTGGAGGTGGATTTGTTGTCCCATTCTCCCCGGTCACCACACAAGGATGAACCTTCACCTCCATTCTGTAGGACAAAACTATACCCTGTAGTGCCTGTACTCATCAAAATTCCTCCTAAATGTATCAGGGTCTTGGTAATTCATTAATAACCTATAAGACACTTTTTGAGTTCTATTTACACACGTATGTAGGTGTGTTAATCACTTAGAACTCATGTTATGTGGACGATAATATATATATATATATATATATATATATATATATATATATATATATATATATATATATATATATATATATATATATATATATATATATATATATATATATATATATATATATATATATATACACACACACAGGGTGTCCCATAAGTTTCCATTCATATGGTTTTTAACATTGGATTGGTCGGCGTGGTCCTGTGGAGTGGCCTCCCAGATCCCCAGACCTTACCCCACTTGATTTTTACCTTTGGGGCATTTGAAGGCCATGGTGTATCAGGAAAAGATACAAATCATAAATCATCTCAAGCAACGTATCACCAACGCCATTACAAGCATAACTCCCTGCTGTGCTTGAACGTGTTCTTCAGCAGTGGAGGACACGCATTGAAGAGTGTTTTCAACAGAGTGGTAGTCATGTAGAGCATATTATATAAATAAAAATGGATTTTCATATAAAAAGGTATATTTTTCATATGTATGGAAATTTATGGGACACCCTGTATATATATATAATATATATATATATATATATATATATATATATATATATATATATATATATATATATATATATATATATATATATATATATATATATATATATATATATATATATATATATATATATATATATATATATATATATATATATATATATATATATATATATATATATATATATATATATATATATATATATATATATATATATATATATATATATATATATATATATATATATATATATATATATATATATATATATATATATATATATATATATATATATATATATATATATATATATATATATATATATATATGACTATGGGACTTCGTCCAATGGTACCGACCTGCTTTGACCGTGCGTCCATACGGGACCTCTGACTCGACGCCGTGACCAAAAATTTTTTTTCAATGGCGCGCATTTTCTATACAGCGTTCCGTCGGAAGCGAGAGGGAGAGGATGGCTTAAGGGTAAACCTGCGTGGCTGCACTCACTCAGTGGGCGCTTGTTTATGTTTGGCTATAGGTATCCTGCTGATGGCGCTGAACTTTACGTTATTATTGTATTTAATTGACTTTATAATGACTGGGCGTAAAAGTGAGAGTGCTGGTGGTACTCCCAAGGAAAAAGGAAGAGCAATTACTTTTGAGAGATGAAACTGAAGATAACACAGTATGAGAATGAAAACGTGGCAACAATCTCTCCACCTTTGACCTAGGTTTTCTCACACTGTTATCACACTATTCTGAACAAAGGGGCATTAGTGAAGTAGTGAAAGAACAACACCTATAGAGAACTATAATAACAAAAAGAAAAGGAGCAAAGGTCCTATCCGCGATATGGAAAAATTATTGGTGATATGGATAGAAGACCAGATACAGAAGCGTCATGTACCCTTAAAGTGTTCTAACCATACAGGCCCTGAAAGCAAGCCTGTTCAAAAGCCTGAAGAACCTTGAGCAGGAGATAGATGTGATCAAACCTTTACAGGAAGTCAAGGGTGGTTTGATAGATTTAAACTGCTTACAGTCTACACAGTGTTAAAGATTAGTGGAGAGGCAGCTAGTGCCGATGTTGGTGCTGCGAAGCTTTTAAGGAGGAGTTAGATGATGTGATTGTGGAAGAGAATTGTTGCCAGAGCAAATATTCAATGTGGATGAGACTGGATTATTCTTGAGGAAGCGCATGCCTGACAGGACATACATCTGAGAGCCAAAAATGCCCGGATTCAAGGCATTCAAAAGGACAAATTACACTTCTGTTGAGAATGTTGCTGGTTTCAAGCTAAGAAGCCTTCATGATCTATCATTCAGAGAACCCCAGGGCTTTTAAACATGTCAGCAAGCACACACTGCAGTGTTTTATACATGATAACAGAAAGAAACACCGGATGAAAGCCCTAGTACTATTTGAGGATTGGTTCATGACTTGTTTCATTCAAACCAAGGTATTATCTGCAACAAAGGATTCCATTCAAGATTTTACTGATTTTTGGATAATGCTCGGGGACACCCACCACACCTGGACGACATGCACACCCTGATGTTGGGTAGTGTACATGCCACCTAACACTACCTCTATCATCAGCCCATGGATCAAGGTGCTTCTTCTGCCTTTAAAGCATATTATTTCATACGACCTTCGCTCAGGCTGTTGCTGCTACTGAGAAGGTGAAAGCAGCTCAGACAGTTTGGAAGGAGTACAACATTTTGTCATGTATAAAGAACATTGGTTAAGCATGGGATCGGGTTACAAAACATTGCATGAATGGAATATGGAAAATCCTGAAAAGATATGTGAATTTCAAAGGATTTAATAAGTGAAGTTATTTT